TGCTAGATTTGCATCACTCGGCTGCATTGCCAGTTTTGTGGGATCCAAAGCAGCTACTGATTTTAAGGAAATTGAGTTTTCTGATGGTCTCTGATCCATTGGTGGTTCTCCAAGTCTTTGATTCGCTGCTGGCTCCGGGAATTTTTGTGGCATCGTAGGCTTCAAATCAATTTTTGGTCTTTCAATGCCCGCTTCTACTTCTTTCGTTTCCTGGAGACTTTTAATGGTCATTTTTTTGGCGATTCTGAATTGTAAGGGGAGGACGGAAAGAATAATTTTATCCAAGACTGCATGTGAAAATGATAAAAATCTTTGCAAAAATTTAAATCCTGAAATCGGATTTAATCGAAAATTAACGCTTTTCTTTCTAATTGCCTACACGAAAGGCCTTACTTAGGATTTCAGAAGAGCCTCTGGATTCGGAAATGGTCCTTCATTTACAAAATCTCTTCAGTAAACGTGGTGCTACTGAACGTAGATAATAATGCTAAGATTAAAATAATTTGTTCTGACTTTTTTGCAATTATTAGCAAAACCAGAACAAAAGCATCGGCTAAGCAAGGAGTGTGGGTATCCCTTGTTGATATAATGAACGGTATTTTTTGAGACTCCTGGTAACCAAACATACTGAGCAAGAGGTTTGTTTTTCTAGTGTAGTGCTTTTTTGTTTTAAAAGTACGTCATTCAAGAAAAATGGCAAAACTTTATGATCGCACTCCAGAAAGCACGAGCACTCTGCTTCAAAGTTGCTCATAACATTATGAACTTGATTTGAATCAGAGGAAAATCTACCCCTGCTTAACACTAAAACCGGCATAATCGACTAGATACTAGTAAGGTAGGGCCTCGAGATTATCAGCATGAAACATTTTCACCTGGAGTTGCGGAGGAGCAGCCATGCTTCATCCAAGCTTCTTTCAACAATGAATTATCGCTGCGAAACTCCATGTTTAAGGAATTTTTACAGCATCGCTTGGGCTGTTTATTAGCTCAAACCTTCGCCCTACTTCTTAGTGGATTATTAATTTTGCAAAAAGCGAAATTTTTCCCCGACTTCTGGGAACCAGCTTTTGGACTAACCTATTTTCAGCTTCACAAAAACGAAGAAAATGAAATAATTCCAAAAGTCCTCTAGGCAATTATTTGCTACACGGTTGCTTTAATGAATTATTTGCATATGCCTGCAAAAAGTCAGCTCGACAGTCTGCAGCGGTTTTCTTGTGAACAAGGCCAGAAAATAGCCGATAATTTCTTCATGATATGCAAGACGAAGCAGGATTTCAGCTCGGGAGATTTTTTCACCTGTCATAAGTAACCAAAATTCATAACTAGGCCACGTAAAAGTGCGTGAAATACCAGAGCGTATTGGACAGCCCGAAGTAACCGCAGCTTTCCCGTACCTGAATCATAAAATCTAATTTCATAATTTTTATGCGTTTTTTGCAGCAGTGCCATGCGAAAAACGAATATTGACGAGAGGTTGTCTGTGTGTCTGTGTCCGTGTGTGTGTTTGTGTCTGTGTGTGTGTCTGTGTGTGCGCTGGGTCTCTGTACCGATTTTTCATCTCGAGACCGGCAAAAGCTACGGGGCTGAAACTTTGGAGACATAATCTACATGCACCTACGGGGCCATGGGCAGTCTTTCCGCGTGGTACCCACGTAAGACCCGCCAAAGTCTTTTACGGGTAAGCTGCTAACTCGCGAACCAGAAAAGCTAGGGAGCTGAAATTTTAGGGGAATGTTCCCCGCCTAAGCAGGTGCTAGTGAGCTCAAATCCAGCCCCGGGTAAGCGTGGTACCCGCGTGCAGGTCCCCCAAAATTTTTCCTTCGTAAATTAATAACTCGGGGTTCTGAGAAGCTAGACAGCTGGAACCTTAGGGGGGTGTTCTCTGTCTAAGTGGGTATTAATGAGTTCAAACCCTGCCCGCTGGTAAGCGTGGCACCTACGTACAGGCCCGTGAAAAGTTCCTTCCGGCTAAGTTAATTACTCGAGAACGTGAGGAGCTAGAAGATTGGAATTTTGAGGGGATGTTTTCTGACAGTTCTGGCGGCCAGTCTGAAATTCTTT